GTCATTGTGGAGTTACTATTTTCCCCTAGACTTGTATCTTGGGACTTCCCTGGAACCATAATTTTTCTGTATTGTCAGTGTGTTATTCTGAATGTTTAGTAGCTTTCCTTACTTTTTTTCTAGGGCCAGGCTAACTGTTCTTGCACACTTAGAGGGAATGGTGGACTCCTGTTTTGCCTCTGTCTGTATTTTCTGAGGTTCTCTCACTTGCCCTCCTTTTCTTTGGTGTCTGCTGTGCATTAAGTGTTGTCAGGTCCTAAATTTGTTTGTATTCTCCAGAGAGAGTGTGTGTCGACTTCTTCAAGTTTGTCAGGGGCCAATGAGGTCAGTGTTACAAAATTTCAGGGGCCTTAAGACATTTGGTTAATGCCCTCTAAGTAGGAGTTCTGGCTGCTTAAATGCCCAGGAACCTCTTTGCTGGAGTCCCATGTTCTTCCTACCCTTCTGGTTGAAGCAAGATTGACCTGAGTTCCCTGGTTAGAGCACTCAGAGGCTATAGGAATTGGAAGGCTTCCCAGTTCTTCAGCTCAGGCTTTCCTCCTCGGTGCACTAATTATTTTAGAGGTGCTCTTTTGTTTACCAGTGTTGGAAGAAGTATTCATTGTAGCTTCTTTTTATTTCTAAATCATCATTTGGTATGATGCTCTTTTGTTTTATCATTTCTGGAGTACATGTGTAGGAATTGGGCTATTCTTACTTGTCTCTAGTTCTTTGCTACAACAAATACTTGGTTTTTATGGGTTCTCTTTCTTTTTTGGAGGGGACTTAGTTGGGATTATGTGTATACACACATACATGTGCAGACACTGATTCCCTTCTAATTCCAACTGCACTGATTTCATTTGTGGCAAAAACTTTTCAAATTTATGTGGTCAAAATTTTCCATTTTATCCCTGTGACTCTACTCCTTATTTGATCAGGAGCTCTTCTTCTAGTCAATGCTATCTCCTTCTATGCTCCTCTAATTTGACTGTGATATGCCCTTTTATATCCAGGTCATGTAATCTCACAGTGCTTTTTGTGGTATATAGTATGAGATGTTGATTTACTCTTAATTTCTGCCAGGCTGCTTTTTGTTTTTCTCAGCAGTTTTTGGTTCAAGAGTGAGTTGTCATATGTTATGATACTGTATTTGCATAAACTCATAATTAGTACAGGGAATGCTATGTGTCTATGTGAGAGGCAGAGTTTGTTGGAGAGCTCTGGAGAGGAGAGACAGTCTTCTTCATTCTTGCTTTGAGATAGTACACAGGAGATTTCAGACTCTTTGGGCCTGACTCCAGGATACAACAGAAAAGATTTTGCAAGGCAGACATTTAGGTGCAAACTGATTCCTCAATATGTCTTTGATTATTTCCAGCTTGCCTCTCTAGAGACTGAAGAACTTCCCTTCGGGTGAGATCAATACCTTTTAGTTAAGCTGTGATATCTTAGTCCCATCTAAAGAGCTCATTCGATATCTATATTTTTTGGTATATTCTAATCTGTGTAATTTCTCTGATTTCTGTTTGCTCTCTGCTTAGATTTTATAAATGGGTTTGCTTACTATTCATTATTGTCAATGGCCTTTCATTTAATACACGTTTGGAGAGGAGGCTACACACTTCAGTTTAGAATAACTCTTCCCCTTTATGGAATGGTGACCAAAAAAGTAACTTCAACAAAAAAAAAATTCCCTTAGACCAGAATATGTAATGGGGGCAGATAAATATAATTCTAGTCTGTTATCTTGCTAGAAGAGAACAGAAACAGTTTGGCCAGGTTCATATCCCCTTCAGGCAAGAATCAATCTCCCTTAGAAAGAGTTTGGCAAGACTTCACAGCCCATGCGGATGTACAAATAACCCACATGGGTGTCATATCATAACCTACATGCATAAAGAGTGTTTTTACTAAAATGCTTTCTATAATATTTAGTCTCTGTAGTTCCATACTCCTTTTTGTTATATGTATAAGGATTTAGTTTTACTTCTTAAAAAAATTGTTAAACTACAAGTGCACTTCCTCACTTTGAGGAAGGTAAATGAATCAACCTTGCTTGTTAAAGAATACATACATGCATACACATATTTACACATAACTAAATTACTAATGCCTTGTCAGGATTTCTGTGCATTGGGAGTCCATTCTCTTTCAACTATAGATTCTGAGCAAACATTTCACATGTAGAATCCCAAGGGAAAAAACCACAAGTACCAATGAGATCTTTGATTCTTCATTTGAGAAAATAACCCAAAGAAATTCTCCTGGCATAACAACGTACAGCAGTAAAAGCTGGACTATAAGGAAAACTGAGCGCTGCAGAATCGATGCTTTTGAATTGTGGTGCTGGAGAAAACTTTTGAAAGTGCTTTGGACAGCAAGGATATCAAATCAGTCAATAGTTAAAGAAATTAACCCAAATACTGAAGCTGAAGCTTTAATACTCTGATCATATAATGAGAAGATAGGACTCACTGGAAAAGACTTTAATGTTGGCAAGAACTGAAGGAAAAAGGAAAAGAAGACAGCAGAGGATGAGATGGATAGGGAGAAACATGGAAACAATGAACATGAAGCTAGACAGACTTTGAGACATAGTGGAGAACAGAAGGGGCTGGCATGGTATGATCCATGCAGGGGTGGGAAACCTGTGGCCTTCTAGGTCCTTGGGTGCAGCCTCTTGACTGAGTCCAAGTATTACAGACCAAATCCTTTTATTAAGGGGATTTGTTCTGTGAAGTTTGGATTCAGTCAAAGGGCCACACTTGAGGACCTCCAGGGCGTCATGTAGCCTTGAGGCTACGAGTTCTCCATGCCTGGTTCAGAGTTGGACACAAGTGAATAGACTAAACAACAAAAACAACATGGCATGTATCCTTCAGTATTAATCGTTTCTTGTCCTTTGCCTCCACACTTACAGCTGCCTGAGGTGTCTCTTTTGCCCAAAGATAACATTATAGAGAAATGTTCACCTGTATTCAGATGGTCCTATAGCAAGCATCTAGCATCTTAATAGCTTTGATATCTCTCTTGTTGACTAACCTTGTGTAAATCAGGAAATATTCCAGTTCCATATTATTATTTCCCTCAATCAATTACTGCCCCTAAAGATCACAAAGTGTATATCTGAAAAGAAGTCACTGCTCTTCATTAATCACCATCTCGTCTCGAAACCTCAAAAAGGAAGGATCATCTCTTACACATATCAGGGACATCACCTTTTCTCAATAAATATAAAAATGAAAGAGAAGCCATCTTTGGAGCTGCCACAACAACCCAATCTGGGTATCTGCCACATCATGTCAAATCTGGATACAGATTGGGCCGGGGGGGCTAGCACCCACTCCTCTAAATGGCTATAAAGCATATCCATTACATTCTATAGATCTCTTTTGGATCCATAAGTTTTGTGGATTTCCTCTTCTCACTAGTTAGGATGCTTAGGTTACCACATAATCCATGAATTTGTGACCAAATAAAGAAAATGAAAAGGGTAGGAGAAATTGATCAAATCTCATCACATGGTAGTCACACTTAAGGGGCACTCATTCCAAAGGCTGCAAGTGAGTGCCTTTACTTCCACAGGCCAGCGTGGCCCTGAGGTGCATCAAGAGAGGATCAAATTCCAGGAACAGGAGATCACAATCATTCTGTACCCTGCACTGGTTAGGCCACATCTGGAATATTATGCATGGTTTAGGCTGCCACATATTAGGAAGGACATTGATAAGCATAAGAGTCTCTAGAAAAAAGGCAACCAGGGTAGTGAAGAGCCTGAAATTTATACCACATCAGGATTGGCTGACGGAATTAGGGATAGATATTTAATTGTAAGGAGTCGAGAGAGTTAGATATGATAGCTGTCTTCAAATATCTGAAGGGGTTCCATGTATAAGATTTTGTAACCTGGGGTCCATGAATTTGTTTTAAAAATATTTTGATGATTATTTTTCGATATAATTGGTTTCCTTCATTTATCCTATGTATTTTGTGCACTAAAAACCTTATTCTGAGATGTCCATAGGTTTTGCCAGACTGCCAAAGGGGACTATGACACAAAAAAGGTTAAGAACTTCTGGCTTTGTGGAAGAAGAGTTAGAACTTCAATCTGGGAAGTGGCCTTAGAGGGCAGGACTGGGAACATGGGTAGAAATTGCAAAAGGGCAAATTTTATCTTGATATATAGAAAATCTTTCTAATAATTAGAACTATACAAAAGTGGAAAGGCCTGCAGATGATGGGATTTAAGATGAGCATTAAGGTAAGTCAGGGAAGGAAGGAATTGGAGGCGATGAGGAAGAGCATTCCAGGCTTGGGGGACAGACAGCCAGTGCAAACACAGTCAGAAGAAGGAGTGTCACTGTAGTGGAATCATTCTGTGCGCGGAGGGGAGTAAAGAGTAAGAACACCAGAAAGGTAGGAAGAGGCCAGGTGATGAAAGTTTTAAGTCCAAATACAGGATTTTCTATTTGATTTTGAAAGTAACAGGGAATCACTATAGTTAATTGAGGGAGGGAGGTGACATGGTCAGACTTGAACTTGAAGAATATCATTTTGGCAGCTGAGTGGAAAACAGATTGAAATGGGGAGCAGGGAAACCAATTAGAAGGCTAGTGCAGTAAGTAGTCCAGATGAAAGGTAACGGGAGGATAATACATTCCAGGAATGAGGGACAGCTTGTACAAAGGAAAGGCACAGAGAGAAGAAAGATAAGATGCTGGGGGTGAAGTATAGTAAGCTTAGTCTGACTGGACTGTAGAATCTGTGAAGGAGAGAGGCTGGAAATGTATAATGGAGGGAAATAACATGCACGGAGAACGAATTTCCATTGTACGGTAGAACTGTCAAAAGACCAACTTGTAAAACCCTTCTTCCCTTCTTATATTTTAAACCTTTTCTATTAATATTTTCACATATATGAAATCCTTATTTGTTAAAACAAAAAAAAATGTGTTAAAAATATATTGGCTATTTAACATCAACATAACAGCTCAAGTAGAAGCCAAAATCTCTCTTACCATTCTGTTGATCCGTACAAAGTCTTCAGGTTTCTTTGCCCATGGGGGAAGGTCAACATCATTTACAACAACCTCATCTTCTCTGACTCCCAAATTATATCCATTACTGTTGACAAACATTTCAGGTAGGTAGTAGAACTCTGGAATTAATTCCTGTCAGTGATAAAAGTATGGCATATTACACCTACTGCATAAAACAGTTGAAACATTATTGAACATTTTCTATATTTTGTGTATGTATATCTCTCTGTGTGTATATGTATTACACAAGACAAATCCTCCCTCTATTTTTTCCCCTTTGGATAAGATATTCAAGGAAGATATGATTAAATTTTTTTGTACTATGGTTTGAATGTTCATTTTACAACATTATTCTAAAAGTTCATTTTTTCTCAATAATGTTTCCAAAACACATGTATTAAAGAGAGCATACTAATTAAAAAACAGGCCATATTAGCATCAAGAAAGCGAGTATTTTTGTAACAGCAGAAAGCTTTTGATTAATTAAAACATATCTAAAATATTTTGTAAACTGTAAAGTTATATACAAATGTGAGCTAGTATTACTAAATCTAAGATATTCACTTTAAGAAACCAAATTTCACGCAATTAAAGTTCTCTGAATTATTATTGAAGACTGCATTAAGGAAAAGAAAACTATGTATAGAATTTAAAATAAAAATTCCTGTTACTTCTTATTTTTGTCTTTTCAGCTGCATTATCAATTATAATATACTTAAATTACAATGGACTTTTAAAAATGGAATTCATACTTTACTCTTTGAATTTGGCAAAGGAAAAGCCCAACTAATAGTTTTTTAAATATTCACTATTGGATACTATGAAAAGCAAATTGTCAATATAATAAATAGTTCAAAATATTTAATACATGTGACTTGAATGGTGAGTACTTAATATAACAGCAAGGAAAAAATTCCTGGTATGGTTGGATTCATGTCTGCAATAAAGTGATCGTAAATGTGTGATGCCTAATGTGCAATTTATATCACTTTGAAGAAAAAGTGAAATAGAAACGTAGTGATTTTAAAATCATAAATTTATCCATTTATGGTTGCCTTGTTTAAGCAGCTGGCCTAGAATTAGAATTTGAAATGCTAGTTTCAATGCACATCTCTTTTCTCAAATATCTATTTTCTTATTCCTTATACTCCCTCCATCAATTTCCTGGCCTAGTCAGCCTAAAGGGACTGGACAGAAATGTTATTCTATCCTAGCTCTCCCGCTAGTCTCCTTACCTAAGTTGCCCAACACCCCAAGGAGACATCACACTGAGGCCAAAGCCGTAATGATATTAATGACCCTTCTGAATACATTCAGCAGTAATTAATAAACTCTCACCTGCTCATACCCTCCTTAGTCCAGTGATCCTGAATCCCTAGCTAGCTTTATGTAAATTCCATTCTTCATCTCCCACTGTCCCCTCTCTTATTCTTATACTCCTCAACCCAACCCCCAAATGTCACACTCTAAAGGTATTCTACTGTGCTCTCTGGAGAGCCTTCTCTATAGACACTAAACTTGCTTTCACCTTAAATCTTTTCCTTTTCCACACTTCTTATTCTGTGGCACTTACTGAGACCTGGCTCCACAGCCTCCCTGGCTGCTCTCTCTGGCACTGGCTGCACTTTCACTAACTGTCCCCCGGAATCACTGGTCGAGGCAGAGGTGTTATAATACTCCTTGCTCCCCATCGCTGCTTCCAAGCTCTCCTTCTATTACTTTTGGACTGGCTGCTGTTCTCCTCTTCTCCCTACCTTGACCTTTTTGTAAATTAGTTCAGATTTATACTATACTATATTACAAATTTCTGTTATACAATCTCAACTGGGCCCTCACTGCTGGCAGGTAATCTTTTTATACCTCCCCAATCAATTTGCCATCCCACTCTTGACAGTAGCTGTTCTAGGAAATCTTGCTTTTCCTCAAGTCTCCCATGGGACTCTCTTTTAATCGTCTCAGCCCAGGACCTTGCTTCACTGAAAAAACTGAGGCAGTTTATTAAGAGTTTCCTCTTCTGATTTTTTGAAACCAAGTACAGCACTTTAAATTTAACTCTATTAAATTTGATCTTATGAGATTTGCCCCATCACTTTAGAATGTCAAAATTTTTTTTAAACCTGGTCCTAGGACTAGCAGAATCAAGTCATGTAAAAGTGTTAGTTAAGATATCAGAGTAAGTTGACAAATAAATGCCTAAAGCACTCACTGGCTTTTCTTTTATAATTCTTTGTTGGTAATATGTCACAAACTACCAGAGATCTAACTAGCCATTCTGGTACTTGAGAAATCGTGAGGAAGAGTCCCTGGGAAGAGATTTCCAGGCTCTTGCTAGGGGAGGACAGAGTAAGAGAGGAACTCACTGGGGGTTCAGGAAGACCTTAGGAGTTCCACCTGTTGCACATACTGGTCTTCACCTTTATGATGTAATGGTGACTTCTGTTTAAGCCACTAGCAGGTATAGTAATGTCTGCACCTCCCCACTCCATCTGCAAAGACTGCCCTGTAATCTTATTGGTAAGGAAGAGGGAGCAGGCTGAAGTGTTAAGCACTCAAATCTCTGGGTTTCAATAGAAATAACAGAAAGAAGGGAGGCACTTTTTATTACTGTACAAAGTCCAGAAGTATAGTAAAGATAATTTGTTGAACTAAATAATTTTATGTCTCTAAAAGAAGGACTGATAGCATATTTGCTCCCTGCCTACATCAATCCATTTCTACCTCAATGGATTTCATCTTTTAATGCCCACTTATCTCAAATGCCCCCATTTTCATGATGATTTCTCTCTCTCTACAGTCTATAGTGATCTCTCCTTCATACCACTTTATTGGTACTTCTTGTGTTCACTTATTATATTCTGATGTTTATTATCACTATTTGCATTATCTCGCATGCTTATACTATTGGATAAGCAACTCCTTAAGGATAGGGATCATATTGCATTTATCTTTGTAATTCACACAGTACTTAGCACAGTGTATCTCACATAATAAAAGCTTAATAAATGTTTACTGAATCAATGAAAGGATAAATGAATTTTACATGGATGAAAGAAATACCCAAATGGTAGAATCAACAGAGTTCAGCAACTGTCAGGATATAGGAGATGAAGAAGAAGGAAAAATCAATATGATTCTAAGACTCTGAGTAAAAGTGACTAGAAAGATATGGAAGGGTAGGCAGCGTTTGCAGGGGAAAGTGAGAATGGCATCTTTTGACATTGCAAAGATACCAATAGAGCATATAGGATGTCTCTTAGTTATTCTGCATAGTCCCTACATGACTAATATACCTTCTCTGCCAATCATATACCTCTGTTTCTTTTTCATTGCTTTTCCTGTATAATTCTTTATTGGTAATATGCTGCAAACTATCCATAACTAGTCATTCTGGTACTTGGGAAACTGTAGGGAAGAGCCCTTGAGGAGAGACTTCCAGATTGCTCCTGGGGTGGCTACTCCTGAGGGAGAGAAAAATCAAGAGAGGAAGTCACCAGGGGTTCAGGAAGACCTTTTATCCATTTTTGGCACGTACTGGCCTTCATCTTCATGATGTAATAGTGACTTTGATTTAAATCACTAGAATGTACAGTAATACCTGTACTGCAACCCTTCCCCCTCGCCCCCACTCAGTATGCCCTGTAACTTTACAGTGTACCTAATGACCCTTAATCCCTGACTCTCTAATCCTTGCAAGGAGGTGGAACTAGGAAAGGTAGAAGAAGGCAAAGGGGAGGGAGAACGGAATGGAGACAATCCTGGGGGAAGACATGGTGCTGGCTATTTCTCTTGACATTCTCAAGTGATACAGCAATAACGTACAGCAGGTACAGCAGGGGCCCTAGGACCTGACAAGAGGAGTATAACACAGTTAGATGTACTAGTCCAGGGACTGAACAAGAAAGCACGGGATGTCATATTGGGGATGTACCACTGGACTAGCAGAGGATGTTTCTGATATATTACATTTAAGGTTTTAGTATATTTGTGTGGAGACGTGCAGCAGGCAACCAGATATATAGGGCCATAACTCAGGTCTAGATGTATAGATTATGAAATTCGGGTCTATAGAGTTTAGTGTCATTTGCATATATATAGGTCAGCTGATGGAGGTAGGTCTTCCCACTACTTCATTGAAACCACTTTGCTAAAGGTCAACAATGATTTCTTAATTGCTAACTCCCAATGGTCTTAAGTTGTCATTCTTAATTTTTCTGCTGGTATGATACTACTGCTCACTCATTCCTTTCCTACCCTCTTCCCTGACTTCCATGACGTTGCTACCTCCTGGTTCCTTTCTTAACAGTCTGAACACTTCTGTTCATTTGCTAGTTCATCTTCCCCTTTTTGTTCTATAAATACAGGTGTTTCCCAAATTATATATTGTTTGTATACAGTTGTTTTATGTTGTCTTTCCCACTACAATGTGAACTCCTTGAGAGCATAGACTGTCTTCTTTCTGTTTCTCTTTGTATTGCCAATACTCAGCATAGCGCCTGGCATATATAGTAAGTGATTAATAAATGTTTGCTGAACTTACTTGTTCAGTATAAAGATACAATCATGTAAAGGAATTAGAACTTGGAACTACATAAGGATATTCATACTCTATGTTCCATTATAATTTACAGAGTTCTGATCCCTTAAAAATATCTCCAGACACATCTCAGTGAATACCACTAACAGAAAGTGAAAAGAGTAGGCAGTATACTGTGTTGGAAATAGCAGTGACATTGGGCAACTCATTTACCACCTCTAAGCCTTGGGCTTATCTGAAAAAAGAGGAACTTTGATTAGATGATTTTTAGGGCCTCCTCCAACTCTGTCTATGATTCTGTAATCTAGCAGGCAGTAATAATAATAACAGTTTGCATCCATTTAACACTTTAAGGTTAACAAAGCACTTTTATCTCTTACTGAGACCCAAAAGGAGAATACGAGGGGAAATCTCTAACATATTAACCTCCAGTACAACTATCAATAACATATTTCAGTAATACTGCAGAGAAATCTGTGCTAAACATGAAAATGTTTTCACTGAACAAAAGTTACTATTTAAGAATGATTTAGATTTATGTGTATCAGAGACTGTCAAATAATTTAGCACCACTACATACATTGATAAGCTAAACTTT